CAGTCTCTGAGGTCCCAGGGGTACATTGTTTGACTGGCTCTGAAAGAGTGTGTTTGGTACTGCCTAAGTGGTAGATCCCAAAGGGGTGCTGTGTTTCTTACTGCTCGTAGATGTTCTCTGAGAGGGGTATGCAGCATATCTGCTCAGCTTCTCTCTGTGCTTAGCACATTCTGATAAGGCTCCGACTTTGCCCACCGCGCTCTCCCCTCGCGTAGGCTGTCATATTTATTTATTTCTCCTCGGTCTGCAGGAAACGGAGGAGCTGGAGGAAGAGAAATCGGTGCTGCAGAAGGAGATCGCTGAACTCCAGAAAGAGAAGGATAAGCTGGAGTTCATGCTGGTGGCTCATGGCCCTGTGTGCAAAATCAGCCCCGAGGAGCGTCGCACCCCACCATCTCACAGCCTCCAGACAGTCCGGACTGGAGTGAGTGGAGCAGTGGTGGTGAAGCAGGAGCCGGTGGAAGAAGAGATCCCATCCTCCTCTTTGGGCCTTGACAAAGCTCAGAGATCTGTCATTAAGCCCATCAGCATTGCAGGGGGGTTTTATGGGGAAGAGCCACTCAACACTCCCATTGTGGTGACCTCGACGCCCGCCATCACCCCTGGCACCTCCAACCTGGTCTTCACGTACCCCAGCGTGCTGGATCAGGAGTCTCCTCTCTCCCCTTCGGAGTCGTGCTCCAAAGCTCACCGGAGAAGTAGCAGCAGCGGTGACCAGTCCTCAGATTCCTTGAACTCTCCAACCCTGTTGGCATTGTAACCCCCCTGTGTCCCTCATTTGCCAGTGTGTTACATCGCCACCCAGGACTGTGGGGGGAAACCTCCTCCACAAGATTAAAGACAGGCACAAGGGCGTTCAAGCACAAGGGCAGCAAGAACAAGAGAAGGGGAAATGTGGCTCCAGGAGCCTCCTGGAGCAGGAAGAACAAGAACAAATGTAAACTCCATGGAAGCAGAAATGGTGATGGTGGAAATGACACGCCCAGTCCATCTGGAGAGGGGAAGCTCCCCTCTGGAGGAGCTGCCTATGGAAACCCCTTCGTGTGTTTAATGGACTTGGGAAACACACTTGGCCAGGACTGGAGGCGAGCTGCAGAAAATCACTAGTCACCCCTTACCTTTGTGAACTGATCTGATTAGTTACTCTCTGTGCTTAGTTCATTCTGGTTCGTTGATCTCTCTCTCTCTTTCTATTACTGATCCCATGACATTTCATCTAGTTGATATCCACTCTAAAGGCTTGTTATGATGTCGGGAGGAGCTGTGGGAAATTCTTGCTGTTGTCAAGATGGGAAGTGTTGGGAGGAGTCACAAATGCTTGGTCACAGGGGTGGCGCTTGTAAGTCAATAGCCCACAAGCTCAATGGCAAGGACGCCATGAACTGAGGGGAATATTTGTTTGGAGGAGTTGGAGGGTGTGAGATGGATATTTTGTCTCTTCCCCCTCCCCCCTGCTGCAAAGGCCAGGTTAACAGAATGTCTAGTAATGGGACCTGGAGTGGTGCCCTGGTAGCTGATAGGATACCAGAGTCCATTTCCACTAGCCGGTGTCTTTGGCAGCATTTCTCCTGTAATTAGTGTTTGTCGAATCTTCTGCTGGACCCTTTGTTTCCTTCACCCTGGCTACCTGCCACCTTGGGCGCAATGCATCCTGCTCCTCCTCCTCTGTGTGCCTGACTCAGATGCTGATTCCAGTCCATGGGCAAACCCTTCTTCCTCAGCCCATATTTCCAGAACATATCACTGACGAGGAAGTGACATTCCAGTGCATCCAGGAAAGAGATTTACTAAGAACGAAAGGGTGAAGTTGCCTGGATGTTCTCTTGTCACCCAGGCAACAATGCAGTTTGCATCTCTGCTGTCTTTCCTTCTCTGCATCATTGCACCTTGATTCCTAGCCCCTGTTGTATTTTGCTACTTGCTGGATTGGGGGATTTTAAATTCTGGTATTCAAGACAAGCAGAGACTCTGCCCCTAACAGTGAGTCCTCTGTCTTCTCCTACACAGGGTCTCAGCTGAAAGTGCAGAATGCACACAATGGGCATGGCCATTTAAAATTAATGTTCACTACTGAAAATAGTGATATGCTTAACCTCAACTCCTCTGGAGCCAAGTCCAACTCCTACTGAAGTCGATGGCACTTGCACACTGTGCTCAGGTGCACCATTGGTTTTTCCAAGATTGAGTGCATGGATGTTGAGTCAGGCTCCTGGTGTAGTAGCTGAGAGTTGATTTCAGTGCATTCAAAGAGTATCTCCATTAGTCTAAGCTCGCTGAAGCTGCTGTGTCAGCATATCTAATTGGGTGTGGTCTAATCTTCTTTGGTTTATCAAGTGAAATCTGGGTATGTTCTGAATTAGGCTGGACTGTGGAGAAATCTTTGGTGCAGTGTTCTATTTTAGGGCACAATCCTGTGAGATGCTGAGCGCCCTCGGGTCCTACTGCCTCTATTGGGATTTAACAGTACTCAGCACCTCAGAGGTTTGGGCTTTTATGTAGCAATCATGGATTCTATCAGACCCTCACTGTTGTATCAGTTTTAAAGGGATACTGTCTGAATGTAGGTTTTCTTTAAAACCAAACCAAACCCACGTATTTACAAAACTTGCCAGGAACAGAAATGTTTTAGTGACTTGTTCATGAAACTGAAATTCATTGATTCTGTTTTTTCTTAATTATTTGACCATTCCTTACATTATGCTAGTGCCAGAGACCCAAAACTGACTATAGACCAAAAGTAAAACTAACCAGTTAGTTTCATTGTCCTTAGTTGAAGTGCAAAACTTAACTGATTAATGGAAATAAAGGTAAATGATTTTAAACATTTTTCACTAAGTAGCCCAGAGAAGATTCTGTTTTTAATAATTTTTTTAGCTAGAAAGTGTCACTTCAAGATAAACTGTGGTTTCTGTCCTTTTTTGTTTGTTTGCTTGTTTGTTTTTGTTTTTTCTTCTTCTCAGTTTACAAGATGTTCATTTAGGCTGATCTAAATCACAAATCTGGGGTCACTCAGTAAAATGTCACCTATGTTTCATTTCCACTTATGCAGGGCAGAAGATAATATTAACAAGCGGTGACTCCTAAACGCATGTAATTTCTCCCTGGGCCAGTTGACCTGACCCACTATTCTGCAGGGACCTCCCTAGAATTAATTCATGATTAGCATACCCATTAAGAAGAACTGAGTAGGTACCTGTTTCCCCATCTTTCTGAGGATTACAAAACTGGTAGCGTGTGAGCAAAAGGCTCTTCTAAAGTCTCCTTAGTACCAAACTGAATCTGTGGTGTCTTGAAAAATAACTTGTCCCATCTTCTAATGTAACTTCAGGTGATGCTCACAATCCCATCAGCTATCTATTTGATTTGGGATCAGACAATCCTTTTCATTACTGTGGAGGGGTGGTGAGAAATCTGTCCAAGAGTGGAAGACCTGGCCAGCTTTTGTGGGCAATCAGGGTAGTAAAATAGAATGTTTCTGAAAGAAATGTTCAAGTGTCCTTTCCCCTGCCTATAAAACCCTCTTTTGCCAGCCAGCAAGAGTTAGTATCTTTTTTCACATCTGGATTGCTTTCTATAAGATGTCTCAAGTTTTTCCCCCCCTCCAGATATCACATCCTCTTCTGCTTAATTGGGCAAGTTTGGGCCCAAACTTAATTGGGCCTTCCTCTGCAGCATGTGGCCTGGGTCACTTGCAGGTTTAAGCTAGTGTAAATGGGGGGTTCTCTGTAACTTGAAGTCTTTACACCGCGATTTGAGACTTGAGTAACTCAACCAGAGGTTAGGGGTCTATTACAGGAGTGGGCACGTGAGATTCTGTGGCCTGAAATGTGCCGGAAGTCAGACTAGATGATCATGAGGTCCCTTCTGACCTCAAAGTCTATGAGTATTGGCCTGTGTCTGTCTCTCCTCCAAGCCATAGAACCCCACTCCTCATCTCTGTGACATGGGCATACATCCAAGGGAGAACCAGGCTCCTCTTTAGGCCTAGTTCATTGAGATGTTACCCAAAGGAGCCCCAGCCTCCTCCCTGGTGCTCACCTTCCTCCTGCCCTCACTGTTCCCCTGGTTTTGATCTTTCAGTGAGCACTTCAGAGCTGAGCCTGAGGTGACCCCTTAGGCAGTGTGTTTGTGACCGTTAGAAGCAGAGGAACCCTTTTCTAATATCTGAAAATATCTTGGACAACTTGTCAGTTGTGACAGTTTTTATAGTTGTGTATCTTATAAATTAAAACAAACAGAAAACAAGAGGGGAAAATCCAGAAGCTCTGCAGCCTTTTCCATCTGCTTGCTTTGCACCCCTCCCTCAGAAACCCTTCAGGGAATCCCAGGTTAAGAACCTCTGTTGTTAGGCCACAGGGCTTGTGCATTCCACTTGAGTGGAGGCTTCTCAGGGCAGGTAACCTTGGCTTTGCTTACTCTGTTGCAAATCAGACACAGCATGACCTCTCTGCTGCTGTGAGCTGGCTCTGGATTCATCTTTTACCGTTTCATCTGACCTCTTTCAGATAGTGACATGCTCCACCATTTTGCAACCAGGAATCTCCATGCACACCTGTGTCATGGTGCTTTCTAAATGTGCAGTGTCTTCAAATGTTCTCTTCGTGGCTGGGGACATATTGCAACTAGAGTCTGATCCAAAGGCTATGTAAATCCATGGACATCTTTCCATTGACTTCAACAGGCTTTGGATCAGTCCTCCAGTGTCTGGCCCCAGCTCAGTAAAGCACCTGAGCACATGGTTAAAGTGTGCATGCATCTGACGAAGTGGGTATTCACCCACGAAAGCTTATGCTCGAATATGTCTGTTAGTCTATAAGGTGCCGCAGGACTCTTTGTCATGTTTAAAGTAAATCACTCCTGAATTGGAGGAGCAGCAGCAAAGGAAACATAAATCAAAGGCAACATTCTTTCAACCTCCACATGCTTTTTCTCATGCTGATTTCACCCCCATTTCCCACCCCTCCCAGTTCTGGCATGGCCCCTATCTATTCCTTCCTCTTTGGTGAGGGGGCTGACTAAGTCTGAAAGCTGAGTGATAGGCCTGGGACCAACCTGCTGGGGGTCAATAGTTTGGGTGGTGGTGGTGGTGGTGGTTGTTTTTTTAAATATTATTTAAATGATCTATTAAATTCATCTGAACCCTTCATTTTGCTGCTTTCTGTATGTATGATCCACCTGGCCTTCATCCTAAAAAAGCCTAGTATCTCATTATTTATTGGCAGGCAAACATTTTGTGTCTGCTCCAACAGATCTGCCCACCATTAATTTAACATCCTCCCAACTCATGTTCCTGTTTTGGTTTGGTTTTTTTCAACTCTAAAGCAGAATTCTGAAATGTTTTAAAATAATAATTTCCACAGTGACCGTTACAAGATCATTCTCGTCAGAAAGGCCAGATCAAATGTTTTAAGAAAGGAGGGAACAATTTACATTTTATTTCTTATTTATTTGTCATGTTTACATCTCTTTCTCTGTTCCAGACCTGGATATAATAATGAGAGCATTAAAAATACTTCATTTGTCTGGTTTTGCTGGTTAATAATGCTTTTTTCTTTACTTAAAAAGCAAAAAAAAAGATTCCCGAATTATTTTTTTCTTGTCTGTATAAAATGTATAAAGAGATATTTGTTTCTAAAGATGCATTATCACTCCTTTGTGAACAGTAGCTGGGGCTGGGGACAAATCTCAAAGTACAAGATAATAATAAAATCCTATCCTGTTCTACTTAATTGTTCTCACCGTATGATTAAAGGGTTATTCCACTTTCTTGTTTGTGGTTACTTGATATTAAAAATGTGTAGAAACTAGGTATCTGATTGTTTTTGCTCAATGAGAGGATAAAATGTTGTGTATATATTTAGATATACTGTGTAGTTCAAAGTAACATCAATAAGGGATAGTGCATCTTTATTAGAGCAATAAGTTACTAGTGTCAACTGAAGTCTACTTTAAGATCCTTGAAGAAAACAGCCTGATTCTGATTCCATTTGCATGTGTGTAAATCAGGAGCAACTCCTCTGAAAAGGGAATAAGTGGAGTTACACTGGTATAAAACTGGTGTGAGAGAAATTGGAATCAGGCCCCCAAGAGTCATCCAAATCTGTGGAGATCTATGTATGTTTGGGGCACCATTATCTCTCCCCCCCCCCCCCCCCCCCAAAATTTAGATAATGATTTTTTTCTTTTTGTCTGGGGTGAAATGATTCCTATCAAGAAGGTTCTTAAAGGCGACTGCTAAATTGGGACTCTTTGCTCATTTTGATCTTTGTATAGTTCTTGCGATCATAGAAAATCTTGGCTCTGAAGCAATCTCTCTGGTGTTGTCTCTTTTCTGTTGTTATTTTACAGTAATACAGGCCTACAGTATTTGCACTAAAACAAAAAGCTTGTTAGAGAAAGCTTGCTGCTATGAAAGAAAGAACATATTAAAACAGTTTTGCTTTTACAATTTTAACTGAGTAGCATTTTATAGAATAAAATCAATTTAGATTGGAAAAGAAGAATGAAGTCCTCCCCCCCCCCACCCCTCTTCTTTTCATCCTCCTTTCTTTTCCTTCCATTTCTTCATGGTTTGTTCCTCCTCTCCCTCGGTGCTCAGTTGTAATGATTGCCTGTGTTGTTGACTATGCTGCTGGGAGTTATGACACTTGTAAATCCTGTTTTAATGACGTTGTGGACACATTTTGTATAAGGAGAGCTAACTGGAGTTCTTCTCTCTGTTAATTGAAGTAATTAAAAGGCTGTCTTTGCCGTGAACAATTAAAAGCTTGCATGTTCCTTCACTCCAAACAAATGGCTACTGATGCCTGTCTGTAAAACATTTCAGGGCTTCTTTCATCAAAGGGGATGTAATCCAGACAGCTGTTCAGCAGCAACAATGGTAAACAGGGCAGACACTAAAGGAATGAACCACATGGGCTAAAAAGCAAATACTGCATTAATCCCTTTCTCTTGCCTTCAAAAAGAAGGGGATGTAACTAGAAAATGCAAGATGTGATGACCTGCTTTACCATCTTTCAGACGGAAGGACTCAAAGCTTCCAACCTGGGGCTAAATTCTGGTCCTGGGTACCTAGCTAGTCTATGGAAGCAGCCTGCATTTACCTGGGGATTTATACAGGGATAACTTCACCCATCTATGAAAAGCAGCTGCCTCTGGGGTGGAAGGTGGCATCTGTTTACGCGCACACAGCAACACTATGTTACAGTTTAGGACAGGAACTAAAGGATCCTGTATCCAGTTGAAAATACAGGAGCAATTTTTGTTAGGCAATACATAATTAGCCATGTTGGCTTTGGCCCCAACTCCTACAAAGCAGCTCTATTCCTACAGAGTCACTGGATGTTTTATGAGTATGTGCAGTTAGTACTTTGGTTTTGCATCTCCTTTGAAAGACAGGCACCACCCCTTCTTCCATGAAGGAAGCTGTGTTCCTTGCCACACCGTGGAAATGGGTGTTAGGGAAGGATATGCTGATGTGCCGGAATGGCTTACATGAATAACATGGTATGACAAGCCTTCTGAAGTTTAGGGAAATGCTCATGGCACTATGTGTAACCATGAGCCATCAGGCCCTGAGAATATTCCCGTGTGAGTGAACTCAATGGCCAGTGATCTACATCACAACTACAAGTGACACTAAGCAAACACAGAAGTGGAGGAGCAAACAGGCCATGGAGACTGAACTACCTTAGTGTTTGCCCTTCTTGGGCAGGGATGGTGTGATTGGTGAAGGACTCTGAGCACGTACCTGTGATTACCTTGCTTCAGTTGCTTTGTCTCTGTTCTCAAGGTGCACAGAGGTCTCCAAGGTATCAGACTAGTACCTTTCACCAGCATTAAATTCACCTTACCAAACAAAACAAAATCAGCCATCAGAAGGCCACGTTATTTCCATTCTCCTTGGAAACATAGAGCACACAGTGAGCCCCTGTTTGGTAACACAGTGCTATACCAGAAGAGCTGGTTACAAACATAGGCCTCCCACTCTACTTTCTCCCAGCATGCACTGGCTAGAACGGCCTTTTCCTATCATTAGCCCACAGCCAGTGGAATGTCCACACAGTTACTATAATTTGGTTCTGAAGGATGAAATTACACAGCAGAGCAAAGACTTCCAGTAACCTTCCTTTCTGTGGGAGGCTAAATTCAACCACATTTACATGGGAATCTTGGTTTCTGTAGTTCTTTTTTTTAAACTCTTCACTTCATGTGGGAGAAGATTTCTCCTCTGTTCTACTGATTCATGGAGCTTACTATGGAACCAGGGGGCTTTGTGTTACCACAGAGCACATGTTATCCTGGAAGTCAGGAACGCCAGAAGCAGATGTTGCCTTGGTCATTTTACAGGGACAGCCTAACAGAAAGTTCAGACCTATTAACTCTTGTCTAGTAGGATCACTTTGCCTTACTGGCCTCCTCACTGGGTCTAACAATTAGGGGAAGCCACCACTTTCATTTTCCCTGGTCTCCCATCATGAGAGAGAGAGCAGGCTCTCCTCTTATCATAGGCATTGCTAGCATGCAAGAAAGCATCTCC